TTTTTTTTTTTTTTTTGCAGAGAAGAACCTTTTTAGTTTGAGTCCATCCCGTTTATTGAGTCTTAATTTTAATTCTTGCACTAAAGGAAGAAGGAAGTTGGGGCCTAATCCCACATGATGGAGATTAGGGCCTACTTTTTCTTCTACTAGATGCAGGGTCTCTAGTTTTATTTCTAGGTCCTTGATCCATTTGAGTTTGGTGAGAGGGGTTTAATTTCATTTTGTTGCATATGGATTTCTAGTTTTCCCAGCACCATTTGTTGAAGAAGCTATCTTTTCTCCAGTGCATGTTTTTGGTGCCTTTGTCTAATAGAAGATAATTGTAATTTTGTGGGTTAGTCTCTGTGTCCTCTATTCTGTACCATCGGTCTACCAGCCTGTTTTGGTGCCAATACCATGGTGCAGCCAATATGGAAAGCAGTATGGAGAATTCTTGAAAAATTGGGAATGGAACCATCATTTGACCTAGGCATCCCTCTCCTCAGTCTATACCCAAAGGACTTAAAAACAGCATACTACAGGGACACAGCCACATCAATGTTTATAGCAGCACAATTCAGTAGATGAATGGATTAAAAATGTGGCATATATACATAATGGAATATTACTCAGCAATAAAAGAAAATAAAATCATGGCATTTGCAGGTAAATGGATGGGGTTATAGAAGATAATGCTAAGTGAAGTTAGCCAATCCCAAAAAACCAAATGCCAAATGTTTTCTCTGATATAAGGAGGCTGATTCATAGTGGGTTAGGGAGGGGGAGCATGGGAGGAATAGATGAACTCTAGATAGGGCAGAGGAGTTGGAGGGGAAGGGAGGGGGCAGGGGGTTAAAAATGATGGTGGAATGTGATGCACATTATTATCCAAAGTACATGTATGAAGACACGAATTGTTGTGAATATACTTTGTATACAACCAGAGATATGAAAAATTGTGCTCTATATGTGTAATAAGAATTGTAATGCTTTCTGCTGTCATATATAAATAAAAAACAATTAATTAAAAAAAGTTAAAATTTATCAAAATTTACCAACATTAACACTTATTTATAGACCACACCCGGTCCCATTCAGTAGAAAGAAGTGTAAATGAACATAAAGATGTAGTATTAAATAATAGCCTCATAAAAGTATCTGTTGTGCATCACTGTACTGCTGTGATCATTTACTGACCTCCTCCTGTAGCTGTAGTGGTGAGCTCAGGTTGTTAGTAGTATTCTCATAAAATGCTCTGGAACACTGATCATCTCCACTTGAGCAGTTCCTCTCTCCAGTAAATTGTGCATCTTGTAAAAAGTAATCCCTTTTGGGTTTCGAATAGTTTTTACTGTGTATATAATAAATATAACATACAAAGTAGGTATGAATGACTRTTATTGGTAAGATTTCATGTAGGTCAACAGCAGCGACTAGTTAAGTTTGGGGGAGATCAGAAGTCCTACTTGGATTTTCAACTGCATGGGGATTGGTTTGTGCACATGCACACAGTGTCCACTCGTCGGCTCTAATTAGGCATTTCACAGCGTTGGCTATTGATAGGAGGCTCTTGTCAAGGGTTAGGATTTCCTAATGCTGAATGTGGTCTGGAACCTGTATGTCATTTATCTCCTTTTCGACACTATAGGCTCCTCTGAATACAGTACCTGTTTCCTGAGTTGGATGGCAGCAGAGGTTTCCTTATATGAGTATTGTTTTCTCTTCTAGTTCCATCACCAGGACAGATTCAACATAGAGTCCACAGCGTGGGACATTTCCCAGTGTCTGTCCGGCAGCCTCTTAAAGCCACAGCCTACGTGAGTCCAACTGTTCAAGGCAGCAGTAACATGCCTTTATCCAACGGCTTACAGTTGTATTCCAGCACAGGAATCCCTACCCCCAACAAAGCTGCAGCTTCTGGGATCATGGGCCGCAGCGCACTTCCAAGACCTTCATTGGCAATAAATGGGAGTAACCTGCCTCGGAGCAAAATTGCACAGCCTGTTAGAAGGTAGGCCTGTTGGTTTATATAACTTCATTTGAAGTTTAAGTTCGAAACTGCTCCAGGAACCACCTGACTTGCTTTGACTCAGTTTAACTCAGCAGGTCACTGCCCTGGATGGCCGTACCTGTTTCCTCCTCTTTCTGGAGGACATGCCTTGTGTGGCCAGGCCCTCTTCTCTGATCTCATCTTCTTCTGTAACTCCATACTCTTTTCACTTTTAAGACACTATTTGCTTTAGCTTGAATTTACCAAGGTAAGGCCTATTTCCTGAGCTTTGGTAGTTTCTTCCCACCCTGAGTTACCTGCATGGCTTGCTTCCTGTCTCCTTCAGGTCCTTGCTCACATGACACCACTGTTCAAAATTATAAGCTCCATGAAGGTGGAGGGTAATTGATTCTTTGGTTCACTGTCACATACTCCCAGTGCCCAGCACAGGGTAGGATCTCAAGTATGTATTAATTGAATCAATCATTTTTATATTGAAATGTGGAAACATTTTGTATGCATATGCATATTCTCTCCCCACACTTACGGTTTAAAAATCATCTTAGTGATACTTAGTATGGGCTTTATCAGCTTATATTGGTAAGTTTGATATGCTTTAGGTAGAGTGTGGTCTTTTTTTCTTTCAAAATTCCAGATTACCTGCAGAAGTCATGTTAGACAAGCTCATGGTCATGTTATACCCTTCTTGACTGGACATTCTAGAATGTCTTATGGGGGGAAAAAAAGTTGAGAGATTGATGATGAGAAAATGAATACAAACAACTCTTAAGAGAAATGAGAATACGAAAGAAGAGAGGGAAGGAACCATAGTGAAAGTTTTAAAGGGATGTTGGAACAGTAATTTTTCTTTATGCATTTTTATAAGCTTTTTATTTTCTGAATAGAAGTAAGCATTACTCAGAACATAAACAATTCAGAAACTATTGCAAAACAGAAGAGAAAATAAAGACTGACCCATAGTCTTATCACCCAGGCAGAAATTGTCTGGGTATATGTTTGTTCAATAAATTCTGGCTTATTTCCCTTAGTAAATGCAGAGCTGTGTCTTGTTCGTCCTTGAAAAGAATCACATAATTTGACCTGTATAGATTATTATGGACCATCCATTTATCCTTGTCTATGTCTCCAAACTGAAGCCCTGGAAAAGTTGCCAGATTATAAGAGAGAGTCTGTTTTTCCAAACTTAAGCAAACACCACATATTATCATTCTTTTTAACATTCTTTGCAATGTGATAGGCAAATCTTTGATTATTAATAAGATTGAAATTTTCTTTATGTTCGTGTGCTATTTATATTCAGTGAAATTGTCATTTATGTTTTTTAGGCCATTTTTCCATTGAAGAGTTTATCTGTTTCTTTCTGATTAAAAAAAAAACAAAACAATTTATACATTGCATAGCAGATTTACTTGTATACATATGACACATGCTGTGAAGGCCCAGAAATGTGAAAGGTACATTTGGGACTGCTCTGCCAGTAGCTTGTCATTACTGAAGGAAGAGCATTGATGGGAGAGATGATCAAAGCAAGTGATGTCACTCGTGGGATTATTAACAGTCTGTTTCCTCTTTTCAACCCTTTATAGTTTCCTGCAGCCTCCAAAGCCTCTGTCTTCACTCAGCACACTGAGGGATGGAAACTGGAGAGATGGTTGCTACTGATGCAGTTTTATGTACCCTTGAAGAATGGGAAAGAAGTGAAAAATGAGGGTTGTGTTACCTAGCTGGCTGGGTAACGGCGGACGTTGGGATATTCTTTCCCTTTTGCATTTTAACATATGTCCTGCGTTGTTTTTCAATGGACCAATCACCAGAGACTAATTATTGCACTTAAATATTTGCCTGAGATACTGCAACATTCTCAAACCCGTGGTTGCAGTATTGTGACACTTAGATCTAGGAAGTTTTTGTAGAACTGCTCTGTACCTGAATACTTTTTGAGAGAACTGAAATGTATCAATAATGCTTTGCCATATGAGGTTTTTTTTTTTTAAAGTAACTTGTTCAATTTACTTAAGTGTTCTAAACATCTTTCCATTACATGTTCTGTATTTTAATACATTGCATATTTACAACTAGGTTCTATAACATATGCTTTGAATTTTACTTTTTTATAGTTTACAGGAATTTTATTTTTTGTGCCTATTTCTTTTTACACCTATGTGAACCACTATGGAACAACTTAAATTTTGTGCCATAAAAATATTTTTGTGGTAAGGTACTATTTTTTTAGCTCTAGGAATATATCAGCAAAAATACATCATACAATTTGGGACACAATTTTATGTTGAATGAGCACAACATGATCTGAAGTGTTGCAAAGAGATAGCCAGACAGCAGAGTTAAAGCGTCTTGTCTTTTTCATTGTTAATTTATTGTCGTCCATGGATTTCATATTTATAATGGCATCACAAGCTCATTGCACTTAATACCTGCAATGTTTGCTACTATACCACAATTGATTTTTCAATACTTTATTACAAAAGATGAAACTGTAATGTTTTATTAACAATGCTTCTGGAAATGAATGCATTTTAAAGCAAATAAACCCTTTTGATAGACCTTTTACAAAACCCATTTGCACTAATGAATGCTTTCTTATGGTATATGACTTAATATTTGTTACTGTGTACACTGCTGTTTTGGAATGTTCAGAAATAAAGACTCTATTTCAGCAAATCAGGTCATGCATGAATGTGCATCACGAACAAGAAGAATACCATGCTTATTATGTTTCATTACAGTTGTGAAAATGATTATCATGGCCATATAGGTTATCTTGGACCAGGACATTTATATTTTAAGTAGGTAGATTTAGAATAATGACATTTTGTAAAAATTATTTTTCTCTAAAATACTTCTGATAAGAAATGTGAGGTTTTAGTTTTGTAAGGTTTGGTTATCATTTAGAAAGGCCCAAAAATGCATTTATGAATGAACACTGTCAGCAGAGATTTTAATATTTTATGCAAATTCAATTTGGAATACTTTCTCAGTAAAATTGCAAAGTGGTGGCATTATTCTGCATTATATTTTATATGAGTTGGTAAACATCACCTGAAAGTGTTACGGAAAGTTTAGGCAAAGGTGTTTTTGTTTTTTTTTTTTTTTTCCCAAAGGCATAGACAGAGGTTTATTTAGGAAAGTAGATACTTATTCAAGGGAGAATGGGAGCAATCTAGAGAGTTATCTTTGAGGTAAAGCAAAGAACATTCATTTAAGGGAGAATGTGGGCCACTTTGGGAAGAGAGATAGGCAAAGGTTTTTGTTGGTTTTAAGATGGAATTCCACCAACAGTCATTAGAGGTTTTCATTAAATAAAGAATATGCCTTTGCATATAATTCTATCTAGAACTGAAAGGACCATTAACAAAATTGAAATGTGAGCAAGAGAAGGTGAGATATGAAAGAGGAGATAGTAGTTGCTGAACATTTCTGTAGTGACGAGAACTGGGCAAGGCATTTTGTCTACATTTGTCTAATTCTGTTCTATCACCTGTTATCAGCCTTTTTTAAGGTGATGAATTCCACAAAAGTGCCATCAGCCTTTGGAAGACATTTAGCTGGCAAATAGTCAAGCTGATGTTGGAATCCTAGTTCTTCTGTATCAAAGGGGTTTTAATACCTACTATTAAACTGTCTTCCTGTAATTGCACGTAATTATTACCATTATTTTTTGTAGTACTTGAGATTGAACCCAAGACCTCACATATGCTTGGCAAGTGCTGTACCATGGAGCTGCAAACACAGCCCCAACTTGTATTTTTAAAAATAAGTTCACATTTGAGGAAATGAAAGGATTCAATTCATTTTCAGTTCAAATATTTTATATATTTTTTTTAAAAGTCTACTTATTTCTTTGGATTAAAAAAAATCTTGGATTTGATATTTTTCATGGGCAGAGAGAGTAAAGCCAAGAACAAGTAAGTTGATGACATCATGTTAGGTGGAGAATGCTATGGAGGAAAAAAAATCAAGGAAGGAGAGCTGGGGAAATTGGGGCGGGGAGGGATCACACTGAAAAGGATCATCTGAGTAGGTATCATTAAGATCTGACATTGAGCAAAGACCTTGAAGGTGATGAGAGTTAGTCCTGGAGATATTTCATAATATTTTTTACCTGGAGTTCTACAGAACACAAAATAGGGGTGATTTTCACTATGCTAGGAGAGTGCGTGACCATTATCATTCCAGCTGTGCAGGAGAGAATTCAATACATTGTGCACCATGGATACTGGAGGACTGTGCACAACTTTCAAATTGTGGTCCCCACATCAGCAGCCACAGTCTTTTGAGGACTTGTCAGGAATGCATAATCTTAGGCCCCACACCCATCTATTGGATTAGTCCTGTAGTTGAATTGCAGAGTGCTCTTGAGAGAGGCCACTGGAAAGGAAGGAATGCCTGTGTGGAGGCTGTGGACAGAGCATTCCTGTGTGCTGAGGAAGAGCAAGGAGGAAAGTAGTAGGGAGGTCAAAAGGGTGACAGGTAAGGCTAGGCGGGTATGGGGGACCTCAGTAACTTTAATTTTACTCTGTAAAAATGGGAAGTTTTTGCATGATTTTGAGCAGCAGAGTATGATTTGACATGTTTACTTTTTTTCTGTTTTTTTTTTTTTTCTTTTTACGATTTGGGGGATTGAACTTGGGACCTTGTACTTGCTATATGCAAGCACTCCACCATTAAGCTCCATACCCATCCTGATTTGGCACTTTTTAAAATGTTTCTCTGGAATTTGATGAAAATGGACTGTTTGAGGGCAAGTGTGGATGCTGGTAAAATGACAATCAAGGTCTTTTAAATCTCATCTCTGAAGTGACATCTGAATGTAAATACAAGGAGGCAAGAATCCTTGAGGCCACCTTATCTGTAGCTTTACTAGATAGGTGCCAATCTAATTTCCAAATTGGTTGTGCCAGTTTACATTTTTAAAGCAAAATATGAAAATCCCAGTTGTTGCACATCTTTGGTGGTGTCAGCTTTTAACCTTAATTTAATCTGTAGGTGTGTGGGTTGTGTCTCATTGTGGTTTTAATTTGAATTTTCCTGTTTGCTAGTGAGATTGAATACCTTTTTCTTTTCATTTATTGAACATTTTCACATCCTCTTTTATAGATTCCTGTCCAGTACTTTTGGCCTATTTTTCTGTTGGGGTTTTCTTACTGATTTGTAGTGGTTCTTTATACCTTCTGCTATGAAACCTCTTGTCAGTTATATGCATCATAAACCTAGCTGCACACTCTGTAGCTTGCCTTTTAATTCTTTCAATAGGGCATTTTGATGAATAGAATTATTCACTTTAACATTGAACCAATTTGTCATGATTTTTAAAGGTTAGTCCTTTTGTATGTTGCCTAAGGAATACGTATGTCCTTAACCACTGGGATCATGAGTATTTATTGTGTTCTAGAAGTTTTATTATTTTGCTTTTCGCTTAGGCTTAGAATCCATCTTGATTTGGCTTTGTGGACTATGCAAAGTAGGGTTACAGTTGTATTTTCTAGTGTCTAGTGTCCTGTTAACACTTACTAAAACACAGCAGGTGTCTGTGCGTGTGCAAGTGTTTCCAACCTATCTCCTCTTACACCAGAACCATGCTGTTTGAATCACTGCAGCCCTATGATAAATTCTCCTAAGTAGCAGAGAAGTCCTGTTACCTTACTTTCCCTTCAGTAGTGTCTTGGCCATGCTGTCCCTTTCCTCTCCATATATGTATTTTAACAAGCTGCCGTTGGAATTTCGGTCAGGAATGCGTTCAGTTAGGGGAAAATTGAAGCTGATCCATTTTGAGTCTCATACTCTGTGAACCTGGTCTGTCCCTTCTCTTATTGATTCAAGTCTTCTTTAATTTCTCACTAAAATGAGGTCTAGTGGGCATGGTGGCACATGCCTGTCATCCCAGTGGCTCAGGAGGCTGAGCCAGGAGAATCGCGAGTTCAAAGTCAGCTTCAGCGACAGCAGGTACTAAGTAACTCAGTGAGACCTGTTAAATAGGATGTGGCTCTGTGGTCGAGTGCCCCAATATTTTTAAAAAATTTCATTTTCACTGGCTTGTTTTGAATGCTTTATTCAACATCCTTAAATATAGATATGTTAGAATCTTTACACATAGTCAGATATATAGATGTTAGATTTTTTTCCCTTTCCTGTCCTTATAATTTTCTCTTATTTGCCTATGATTTTTAATGCAATATTATTTAAATAATAATAGGTATCTTTCTCTGCTAATTTCAGAAGGAAAGCTCTATTTTTTATACTTGAGTTTCAAGCTTGCTAATAATATATTCTTATAAGAGTATGGGTTTTAACAGTTTTCTGCATCTATTAAAGTACTATTTTGTTTAATCAATCAACAGATTAAGATTGTATTTTACTTAAATGAATTTTTCTAATGTTGAATCAAGCTTGAAGTATTTAGATTAATCCAACTCAGTTATGCTGGGTTAGTCTCTTAAAAAACATGGGTTTGATTTACTAATATTTCTATTTTTATTCAGTGTTATAAAGTCACAATGTTACACAGACTGTTCTAGATAAGCAAAGACAGCAGGTCTCCAATTATTTTTCTGAGGTGAACACTATCTGGAAACACTTGTGTTATACTAAAGTTATTTCTCCCTTAAATATGTGATAAGCCCTGGCAGTACAGCCATCAGGGCTGAGAGTCCAGGTCAAGTCATGCTTTTAAAATGTGATGTTATGTCCACTTACTCTAAGTAAGAGCATGATGATTTAAATGATGATTTAAATGATTTTTCCCCATAGTTGTGTCAAATTTTGCTTTCTGTCTTTTTAAGCCATATGGCTTTGGTATGTACATGTTTAGCACATTTTATCTTCCTGTGCATATGCAATTCAGATTTCAGCCAGGAAATGGGAAGGAGAGACCCTACGTAGATTCTGGGGTTCTTTGAAATTCAGAGAAAACAGCCGTGCAAACAAACTGTGCAACATTTATGGAGAGAAAGGAAGGATTGTAGTGAGGGCACCAAGGTTGTGACCGGCTTTCAGGGTAGCCTGAGTGGAATTGTTCTATCCTAGAAGGGGCCCGGAGTTCGTTCACTTAACAGATATTTACTGAGATGACACTACTGCTTTTTTTTTTTTTTTTTTGGTGATGTGGAGGACAAATGTTTAGTTACGGGAGTTACATTCTTAATTCTGGTGAGAAAGATTCAAAGCAAGTAAATAAAATAAATTTTTTCCTTTCAGGAAGGAGCAAACAGGGGCTAAGAGAGAGAATGGTAGTGGGTGGGGGGAAGGGGACAAGGATGATTTGCCTAGAGCCCTCCAGGAAAGCCTGAGCAGGAGACACAGAAGCTGAAGATGTACGATTTTGAGAAGGGGCAGAGATGGAAAAGAATTTGGAGTGTTTGAAAGACCAGGAGAAGGCTACTCTGGCTGGACCTTAGTGTGCTCATGGCAAGACCAGTGATGTGATTTGTGGGGCCCAGTATAAAATGAAAGTGTGGAACCCCTTGCTAAAAGCATATTAAGAATTTGAGGATGTTTATAGTAGAGCATCAAACCAAGCATGAGGCCCTCTGAGCCACACTGTACATGACCATGAAGCCAACCCTGAGTGGTGGGGATGAGGCAGATCCATAGAGCAAGCTATATTAGGGACTTTGGATTTTATTCCAAGTTTAATGGGGAACATAATAATACTAACATTC